GACCCGGCCTGTCCTCTCGGGGCTTTAGAAATGAGGGGTTATTTTTTGGTGTTTTCATTTGTTTCGTTTTGTTTCATTCTTCAGTATTTCTGATCCTGAAGCTGGCTGCAGTTTCAAATCTGAAAGGAGTATCATAGAGCCATGGAATGGTTTGGGTTGGAAGGGACCTTAAAGCTCATCCAGCTCCAACCCCCTGCCACGGGCAGGGACACCTTCCACTAGAGCATGTTGCTCCAAGCCCCTGTGTCCAACCTGGCCTTGAACACTGCCAGGGATGGGGCAGCCACAGCTTCTCTGGGCACCCTGTGCCAGCGCCTCAGCACCCTCACAGGGAAGAACTTCTTCCTAATGTCTAATCTCAATCTCCCCTCTGTCAGGTTAAAGCCATTCCCCCTTGTCCTGTCACTACATGCCCTTGTTAAAAGCCCCTCTCCACATCTCTTCTAGTCCTTTTAGACACTGGAAGCTGCTTTAAAGTCTCTCCTTAAGGAGCCTTCTTTCCTTCAGGCTGAACAAACACAGCTCTCTCAGCCCGCCTCCAGTCCTCTGATCATCTTTCTGGCCTCCTCTGGACACACTCCAAGAAGTCCCCATCCTTCTTATGTCGAGGGTCCCAGAGCTGGACGCAGTACTCCAAAGTAGTCCAGAGAAAATGCACAGAGAGTATATGTAGGCAAATTGGAAGTGTTTACATTTGGAAACATGTACATCGATTATATTAAGTGACTACAGAAAAGGGGAAAAAATGTTATTACCCTCACAATACACCTGTGAAGAGCAGGAAAAGCAGTGATTTTTTCAAGTGGCATAGTGCTGTGTCACACCTGAAAGTTTACGGTGACTTTGCAAATTAGACACTGTTTCTCTGAGTCTGTATAAGTGCTGTGTAAGTGTATTCCACATCTAATTCCTTAAAATGTGAGCGGCTGCTTGAGGGAAATTGCTTATCTTAATTTACAAGATCACAGTGAAATTGTCTTGACTATCTTAAAGTGAAAAGGTCAGCTGGATGTATGGTGGGCTTGATATTTTCTGCAGGTCAGTAGTTGCTCATGGGTGATATGAAGTGTCATATCATTTAAAAAGGTAATTCTGAATTCAGTATTAAGCAATTTGATTGTTTTAATTAGAGGTACTAATTCAAATGAGAATTTGAAATTGTGCTTGCTGCAACATTTGTGATGCCGTATCTATTATGGAGGTTCTGTTTCCTTTTTCCTTTTCTAAGAAGGAATCCACCATTGGGGGGGTTAGAACCAGGTGATCTTTAAGGTTGCTTCAAACCCAAACCATTCTGTGATTCAGTGATTACAGTATTGAAACTTCTTCTTGCTCCTAATCTGGAGAGTGGGAGAGAAAGCAAATGGACTACAGTTGTACCTGAAGTTTTGTACATTTTTTCACACTTCCTAATTGTGGTTTGAAAATGGGTTGGATCAGCTGCTGTCAGGAAAAAAAAAAGCTTTGTAGAATTTGCTGTCATTTATATGCTTTTCTAGAGCATTCTTTGAAACATCTTGTGAAGATTAAAGTTCTTATTATGACAGTATCCACGCTAACTGATGTAGATTGTTTCATTTTTGAAGTAGAAGACCTAAACCAAAAGGAGGTTAACTGTGAGAAACCAAGAACTTTAGAATGATTGGCATTAAGGTGGTGTGTGGGTTACAAAGTCATCTTTCTTGCTAAATAAAAACAATGACATGGCACCAGCAGAAGTCATGGCAGCACCAAAATACAGGATGCTGCTTTTCCCCAGAAAGCATAGCTGCCTGTGTCTTAATAAGCTTTTCCCCTTCCATTGGGAAATACCGTCTAGTGTGTTCAAAGGCAGTTCACAGCTGTTTCCAATTTTCATTTTTAAGAAGAGTAGAGTTTAAAAGTCTATTTGCTTTGGTGAAGTGATTGACAGAGATTTTATTCGCTGCTTAAAATTCTTCATTTCAGTATCTTACAAGTAGTAAATGTGGCCAGTATGTTGACATTGGGATCCTAGCATCTGATTTACAGAAAACCTACAGGTGAGCAAAGATTTGTGTTATATTTACGTTCAAAATATGGAATATCTTAATTTGCTATTTTGCATTTGTGTATTTTTAATCAAAATTTTAATTTTCTTTATGTTAACTTCATTACCAGTTGTTAAGGTTGATAGAAACAATATCATTTCCACTCCAGTGTTTTCATTTGCTGACATATCTAGTAACTCATATTTTATTAATGCACTGGCATTGCTAGATAGAGTTGTAGTTTGTTTTTTGTGGGCTGCTTTTTTTGGTTTAATTAAACAGCTACAGATGTATTACAGTATGTTGATCCTTACTCTAGTGAGCTTAATATGTGAGGGGAAATAACATTTCAGTGCAGGCAGATGGGGGAGATACAGGATTCAGCAAGACACTAAATCTTGCTCAGTTGCTCAGCAGGATGGTCAGTCTTACCTAATTATTTTTAGGCTAATATGCATTTCTGGGTGGGAGCAAGGTTGTATTTCAGCAGGGCATTATGGCTGTGAGGGTTAATGAAGGTGGAGAACTCTATTCATTCATGTTTGCATGGTCTGTTTGTGCCTTGTTAGAGGAAGGGAGCCAAACCCTTTGCTTAGGATGCTTACAGGTCTTGGGGTTTTCTTTTGGTTTTCCTCTGTCACCTATTGTATAAAGGCAAATAAATATACCCCCAGTAAGTGAAGGTAAAAGGTTGATTATTTTAAAGGATGCTCACTGAATCAGATTTTCTTCTACTGAGCATTATTGACCAGCGCAGTTAGTCTCTCTGGACTGTCCTTTCTAGACTGTAGTTCTGGGTCCATATAGAATTCAGTGTCATCGTTTGTACATTGCTGCTTCTCTGTATCTCCAGCTAAAAAGGATCTTGATAGTTTTTACTGAACATCCCTTCAGAGACCAGTATAGTTTAGTGGTTTTGTTTTATCTTACTGATTGAGCTGTTCCAGGCTTAAGAAAAAACAATCGTGTTTTCGCATAGTTGGTTTTTAGTAAGAGCTTCTGTAGAAGTTTGGGTATCAACTTACAATGTTTCTTTTCCTCTGAGAATAACAATGTGTTGGGGGAAGAAGCAGTTGGTGTAACCTGTTTATTTTGGGTTTTTTTCAGTGCAGACTATGGACGAAGAAAACGAAATGCTTTTAGAATACAAGTTGAAAAAGGTAGTTCTCTTAGTATCATGTCCAAGATCAAATTCTTTGATTCTGCTTTGGCTGTTTTCTTAACATGTTTGAACCTTCTCTTCCAGTGTTTGGAATAATCAGTAATGAAAAAGAACGTGAAGATTCAGCAGGTTTAGAAGCTGAACATGTGGCAAAAAGAGCAAGACAGCAAGAGAAAAATGAGTAAGAATGATTTTTACCATTAGATTAATAATGCCATGAGTATTATGACTTTTTTAAAGCTTTCTCTCTTCACAGTATTAAATTTTAGTAGTTTCAAGGTTACACATAGATCTGGTGAAGACAAGCCTGTGGGAAATCAAAGAAGTTACTTGTAGTGCATGGAAGCACTTTTTTTACTGAAGACAAGCAGATACTAGAGCCAGTCACGATTTCTCTGTTATGGGGAGCATACAGCCCTGAATTAGTGGATAAACTTGGGGCTTACTTGATAGTAATCACATGAGGACCTCAGTCCTCATGTGATTCAGTTCCTTAGTTTCATTTTGTGTTTAATCTTTCTTGGGTGTGAGGGATATTAAGTAAATCTGAGAGAAAAGACTAAAAGGTAGACTATTCAGAGTAAATCACCACTGGATATGAGATTAAATTAAGATTTTCTGACTCCTAAATCTGCATAGTCTCACGGGCTATTCTGGTTTCTCTAACTTTTGATAGATATTAAGGGTCTTATGGGAAATTAGGAGAATTCATTGTCAGAAGAAGTAGTCTAGTTCAGCAGCGAGTTCCTTGTGCCGGCATTGGTGATTGTGTGATCTCTTGGTGAACTGAATCAGATTGATCCTACTCCACTTTTTTTAGGACTGTCTTTCAGCCAGGTTGCAAAGTTGATCTGACTCATCACAGACTTGGAAAGGATGTGGTTTTTTACTCTTCACAGGAGTAAATTTAGAGTATGCAAGTCAGCATTTTTTCTCTAGTCTTAGGCTACATATCATAGTTGGGGGGAACCATGTTGTGGAATCTGCATTGTTTTATTTTGTGGGTGTCTCATGTGCAGTTCTGCTCTGATACCTTAATAGTTTTTGTCTTCCTTCCATGTAAAGGACTGCAGGAAGTGCCACAGATGACTCTGATTATGATGATTATCCAGAAGATCTAGTAAGTTGTATTTTATTATGATTGCTTGTATTTGCATAACACACAATTCTATGTTGTGAAATTGCAATGCACTTGGAGAGTTTAAAAGTGAAGATAAGGTATAGTCAGAGTTGGCAATTCTGACTGAGAATAGAGCTAAAAGGAGACTGTTTTCTGAAGAAAAAGGAAGAACCTGTGCTGGGGAATCGCTTCTCAAGAAAGCACACTGGCGGCCTGAACGACTTGGCTATGGAATGAATGAAATGGTTGAAGGAACTGACATACCTGTTACTGAAAGAGATAACTATCAATTAACAGGGTAATTTCAGAGTAAATTGCAAAGACTACTGTTCCTTCAACCAGCAGATGTAGTTTTATATGAAGTCATTTGCTTTGCAGAAGAGTGGGTTGAAAGGTGCATGGCTACTTTATCCAGCAGGGATAATGCTAAATAATGTTTATGAGATACTTTTCATTGGCCTAAATATAACTAATCCAAGTTATGACCTGTATATTTTCTTTTAAAATACATTTTGCAGTCTACAAATCACATGAACAGTTCCCTGCTAAGCTTATACAAGAAAGGAAATCCTGACTCTGTTCCAACCACTCCAAAAAATGAATCAATGGAAACCCCCGCTCCTGTGCAAACAGCACCTCAAACCAGCACCCTCTCATTAGGAGCAAGAGTTGAAACACGCATCTCTGAGGGTGGCTGGTTCATTGATAAAACTCCATGTGGAAAAGACTTTCTCATTGACCTTTCTGAGGATGGAGAAGGAGATGAAAAGAAACCGATTTCTGAGGTATTGTGTTTTACAAACCCAATATGATTTAAGTAGCAAGTATGAATATAGTTTCCTGTGTAATTTGTCAGGCTTTTAGAGGGTGATGCGAAGATCAGACTGTCTTTCTCTCTGGATCTTTAAAATGTATTATTTTCATTACAAACATGCATGTGTTGAAAGACAGTGAACATGTTAAATAGAAAGGAATGATTGGCTTCAACCCAGTGAAATACTTCCTTTTAGCTTGGTTTCTGAAGAAGGAAGGGCTTAGCCTATTGTTCTGCCTTGTCAAAAGTGATTTGTGTACCTTATGGCCCATTTCAAGCATGGTTGTATGAGAGGTAAAAAAGTCAAGAATTACAAATTTCGTCCCCATTTTTTCAGGCAAATGCAGTGCTCAGTATTAGGGAGACCCAGATTAGTGCCCATAGAGAAAGATTAGCAGAATCTAGCTGTTACTTGTTCCATTTGCCAGTGTCCAGCCTAACTAGTCAGGAAGCATGTGGCTTGCTGCAGTCATAGCACGTGGCCTCCTTTAGCCAGTGGTTAAGTCTTGGAGCATGGGAAAAGCTGAAGTTGTTTAGATGGACAAGAGTTGGGGAAGCTGAAAGGAAATTGCATTGATTAATATAGCAGTTAGAAATGGGTCCTACTCCCCATGCAGACATATTGGCCCATTTGTGGTCAATTGCAAAGGCTGCTGCGTGTTAAACCAGCAGATATAGTTTTATATGCAGTCATATAAAACCTTCCTCCCCCCTTCCCCCCCCGTGTTTGTTTCTTATTTAGAAAATGAACAATACCCTGAACAAAACCAGATTTGTTTAGCTATTGAAAGTTTTCCACTTGTGTATGAGAGATAACATTTATATTGTTTGATTGATGGGATGTTTTAGCAGGATGCTCTTTTTTGATGTGAAGGAAGATCTACATTTTCATCTACCTTCCTAATTACACAACAGACTTACTGAACAGGCAGATCTGAGACATCATCCCTTTATCCTGTGTCCTCTTATATAGAGAAATTGAATAAAAGGGAGATCTTCAAATTGTAAAATGTTTGCAATACTGTATACTGAAAAACAAACAGAACCCTTTCATCACTGAACCTCTCTTTCATTTCTTTTCTCCTGTATTAGTAATATTATTTCCTGCAGTTGATTTATGTCAGCACTGAGTAATATTTTCTTATAGCCACTCATGACTTACTAGTAATTAAAATTGTTTCCATTGGAGTAAATATATTCATACAGTTGTATTCATCCCCAAAGTGGATTGCGTTATGGTATGCAAATAACTGGTGTCTGATTTTGGTTAGTGGTTTGGAGGGCTTGGGGGAGGGAGGGTTTTGGGGGGTTTTTTTGCTTGTAAGTATGTACGCTTAGCAAAAAAAGTGACTGTTGCAATTGACCCTTTTAAAAAGGGCAAATCCTAAGTAAAAAAAAAAAAAAGGATTTTCTACAAAAAGAAGGGGTTAAATTCCTGCCTTGCTTGTCTTTATTCATATAATATGTGTAAGATAACACACTTTGTTCTTCTAAGTATTTGCAGAAATTCACTGACTCGGAAGGCTTTGTATATTTAATTCTGGTTTTATGCCCTAGAAATCAACAGAAGTGTCTGTCTTGGAGAGTGAAAGAAAGAAGACAAAGGGCAAGAGAGCAAAAAGAAAAAAAGAAGAATTTCCAGATGTGGATGGAGAAATTAATTCCATCTTGCTTAAAGAGAAAGGTAAGACATTACTTTCAGGGTGCTGCTCCAAAGAAGGAGATGGTATTTGACCATGTAATCCATTACCAGAGAAGTATTTTCTGAGTGTCCTCAAGCATTTTTTTTGTCAAGAAATTTAGCCTTAATGTTGTACTAAAAATACATTCCAGTCTTATGTCGGCTACCACAAAATAATACTATTCCATGTACTTAGCTGATTGTTTAGCCTGAGTACGTTTTGTTTGGTGTTAGCAATTACTATTATGCCATGTCTAATTTTGCATGACTTTTCCTCCTTAACAGTTAGGAGTAAGGGACCAGAGCTTTACCACCCTTCAGTGAAGTTTGAGGATGTAGGAGGCAATGATGGAACTTTAAAGGTTTGTTAAAGTTTTATTTGTGGGAATAAAATGTCACATGAAAAAATGATAAAGAAGAAATCTGTCAGAATCCATCTGCATGGCACTGAGAGCAGCTACCTGTACCAACAGCAACAAAGTGTTTTTTCCCTTTGATTAATCTTGCTGAAAGCAGCCACTGAAATTATGTTAATGAACAGAATTTGCTTTATTTTTTCCTGTCTATGATATTAGCAATCTGTAATACAGTTTCTGCAATTTAAATGGAGGTCTCTCTTGTTCTTAACAGGAAATATGCAAAATGCTCATTCATGTCCGTCACCCTGAAGTCTATAAGCACTTAGGCGTGGTTCCACCTCGGGGTTTTCTTTTACATGGACCACCAGGATGTGGAAAGACACTACTTGCACAGGCAATTGCTGGGGTGAGACAGCTTTAAATTTACGGTTTCTTCTTTTTCTGAATTATATTTAGAGAGAGAAAAATAATCCTCCTTCATCATAGACTGGATCTTTCCTCTTTTTAGTCTCTTTTCTCTCCTTCCTTAGTCTAAAACACATTCATCTTCACTTCCTTTGCTTAAATGAATCTGTACTTGATAGAACCTCATATATAAGGAGGGGACATAGTGACAGGGTTTTATATTGGACTTACTTGTTTTGAGGCATTCCCAGGACAGCAATATAGACATAGGTATGGAGAAGGCTACACACGATAGAGTCTTTTGGTTCAGTTTACTATAGTGTTTTAAGTCTGGACTCTTACTGGGTTGCAACCATTGAACAGTGGTTTCCGAATTCCAAAACTAGATGTTGCCTTGCCTGTGTCAAGCTAACAATTTCACATCATATGACAATATCGATGTTAATAGTTTGGTGTGTGGTGAGGCTGCTGGTCTGCTGTGTGCTTGTTTTGGATATAAATCTAGGGGCTATTTAGGGCTGTTCAGTGATAACCATGGACATTTCTTTAATACAGTTGTTCCTTAAATGTCACAGATTATAACCTTAAATTTAGACACTTTTGTAGTGAAGATTTTATTTTTTGAAAGAAAATACAGGTGTTCATTCCTTAAATGTTGGTTAGACTCTTCTGACATCATTTCAAATCTTTTCATTAAAAAGATTTGGGGCTTTTTCAGTGCCTTACTGTAAAAAGGTACTCACTGAATGAATCCCACTTTAGTGGGTATTTGTATCCTGGAAGGGTACTAAATTTGGGGAAGGAACCATTACACAAGTCAAAAATGTTCAGAGATGAGATAAAAAGATGTGGACAGGCTGGAGAGGGTCCAGAGAAGGGCCAAAAACATGATCAGAGGAGTGGGAACCTGCCATGTGAGGAAAGGCTGAGAGAACTGGGTTTGCTCAGCCTGGAGACCTTGTTACCGTGTTCTGGTATTTGAAAGATGGAGAGACTGTTTTTACAAGGAGTCACATGGAAGAGAGAGGAGGGGTGATGGGAGCAAGTTACTCCTGGGGAGATTCAGTTTGGGAAATTTTTCATAGTGAGAACAACCAGCCATTGGAATCATCTCCCCAGGGAAGTGATGGATTCCTCCATGCTGGATACCTTTAAGATTCAGCTGGACAGGGTGCTGGGACATCTTTTCTAGACTGTGTTTTTGTAAGGAAAGGTTGGACCAGGTGGTCCTTTAGGTCCCTTCCAACCTGGGACTCTATGATTCTGTGATAAATTTAATGACTAATTCTTGCTGTTCAAGGCAAATTATCTCCTCTAAGCGCTATGTACTTCTGGTGGCATTGATTTGTATAAATGAAAAATACATATATTTTTAATATATATATGTAGTTCAAAGAGCTTGAAATAGGCTGCAGCAACCTGTAGCACTACAGTCTACAATCTGTCAAAGTTACAATTTTACTTATTTATTTTTAATAGCAGAAAAACATGGGTTTGAGCTTTACAACTATCTTAGTGTACGCTCCTCCTCAGATATTTCCTGAGCAAATTTGAGGAAAACAAACCTGGTGGGGATCTTTTTCTTCTACACTCCTAAGCAATGGTTTGTCACAGATGGAAATAAACAATTTTCTCAAGATGGGAGCCCAAGCATGAACTGAAGTATATGTGTTGTGATGGACTGAGTTGGGGACCAAGGTGCAAAGCTATGTGACAGCGCAACTGTTCTCTAACAGAAGTTCTTTAAGACTTAGTCTTGATTAAATAATGTTTGGGCATAAAAGATGTCATATTGGAAAATATTTGTCCCCTAGGACAGCCAGCATTTCTAACCTTTGGGTATATCATACTATGCTCCTTGTCTCTTTCAGGAACTTGAGCTCCCAATGCTGAAAGTGGCAGCAACAGAGGTGGTGTCTGGAGTGTCAGGGGAATCTGAGCAGAAACTGAGAGAACTGTTTGAGCAGGCTGTGGTGAGATACCCGTTGGAAATAACACTATATTGTTTGTCCTTTTCTTTGTAAAGATTCATACTTTGTTGCTGTGGTATGAATCTGAGTGAAGATTAGTGAGTGAATCTTTATACTGCTGCACGGAAGTCATAGTGTCTCCCCTTCTGTGACTAGAATTCCATCGTACTGTCATGCTGTCACAGAGCACAAAGATGACTGTTCTGAAATCTTGACAAAGGATAGTTCATCATATCAATATAAAGAGAGCATCATAACATATTTACCTATTTGGAGCTGTTTGGCTTGATACATAAAAATAGGGAAGAGCAGTTCACTGTACTCTTTTATTACAACTTTTTTTGCTGTTTTTATCTGGCATGGGATTTGAATGAACGTGAGAGGCTTAAGACTTGGGGGTTTAGGTATAAAGTAAGAAATTTGGGACAAATATAATAAGAGAACAAATCAAATTACAGTTGAAATCTTGCTTTGTTGCAATTTCCAGACTTGGTAAGAAGCAAAGAGTACCAGCCAGGTTAAAGCATTGAAACATTTAGTATGTGGCTAAAGTTTTATTTATTTCAAGTTTTGTGTTCCTGACCTCTGAGAATGTTCTGGTTTTCCAACTTCATTCCATTTTTCTACTCTCCCCTACAACTGTAGATAGGTGTTTAGAGTATGTTCCTGTAAAAAAGAATGCTAAGCAAAGCTAAACTGCTTATTGTGAAGCTGTTAGATTATTATGTTTCCAGTTCAAAGTGCATTTTAATTTTAGAAAGCCTTGTGAAGATGTTTCTTAGAATAAAATTAAATAAGTGATTGCACAGATTTCTTAGAAATGATCTTTTATGTATACATTGAGGGGAGGTTGCTATAGAAGTTATTTTTTAAGCAACTAAATATAGTGCATAAATGATGTTTAAAAACGTTGCCTTTCTTAGTCTCTCGCATTCACTTAAGTAGCTTTTCCACTTAGCTTTTGTACCAATTTTTGTGCAGGGAACAAAGCTATAGTTCCACATTATGTATGTGCTGTGGAATCTTTATAGCTTAGTGGCATTTTCTCCCTGTCTAAGTGGGAAAGTGAACGACGACTAGATGGCGCAGTTGCTACCCGGTAACACCGAATGCATGGGTCTGAAAATACTGTTGTTTTATATGGGACTGTTTTTGAAGATAATTCTAGTGTTTTCCTTAAGCATTCCTTTGCACTACTAGTGCTTTTTGAGAGTATTAATAATATTATGTCTGTTAAACACTGTTCTTTTCTATTAGTTGCCCTAATTACTCTTCTGTGTAAGTGTTGGCCTTTTATGAACGTGAAGTACATGGAATTTTGAAACACTTGTAAGAGTTGCTTATTACTCATTTTTACTCTTTGAACATGGTCAGGCTCTGTAGTAATCTGGAAGTTGGCAGATCATTCTTCATGACCACCTACTGCTCCTTTTGTTTCATGATGTATGTCAATAATACTAACTCTTGAAATTCCACAGCTCTAATGTCACTAACAAAACAAACAAAAGCCAAACCAGACCTTTCTTGTCTGATTTTGTTTTCTGGACTTAAGCAAGTAAGCAGTCACAATGGAGTATTTATAGAAAGCATAAAGCAGCATAGGGGCACATTTAAATTTTAAACAATATGTAGACACATTTTGAATCTCATGCCTTGATTATTTCATAGCCTCAGCTCAGCACAATTTCACAGTCTGGTGGCTCTGCAGATAATCAATAAGAACGTTCCAGAACAGGCTGATTGCACAGCAGACTTACAGTCATACTTAAAACATAGAAAATCTGACTAAATTCTGTCTCTCTTGTAATACACTCTGTAATTTTGTAACTATTAATATTTCTTGTTCCTAGTCCAGTGCACCATGTGTCCTTTTCATTGACGAGATTGATGCCATCACCCCAAAAAGAGAAGTTGCATCGAAGGACATGGAGCGGAGAATTGTCGCTCAGTTCCTAACTTGTATGGATGGTGAGTTTCAGGAACATCTGTACTAAGCTAAACCTTCTTATGATCAGGCTCACAGCTTTCCTTCAGTAGTGACTTGTGGTTACTTTAGTGGAGATAGTGGTAATAATTTTTCATGTTTTGGCACAGTTTACCTGGGGGGGGTTGGGAAGATTGCAATTAATTTGAGAGGGTGTTACTATCTTATTTTCACAGTGGTCTGTACATGATTATAAAAGCCTGTCTGTTGGACAGACAGGTATAACGGGAAAATGTGTCAAATGTCACTTGAAATGCTTATTTTTGCTTGATTGTGCATTCTAGGTAGTGGAAATAAGGATGAACAGTTTAGGATGCCTGTTGGTTGGTTTCTCTCTGCTGTTCTGGGTATTATTGCGTGCTGCAGAAGCAGAATCCCACAGATTCTGTTACCCCCGTAAGTGGGTATGAGTACTAACTTCCTTCCTTCCTTTAGACTTGAATAACGTGGCTGCGACTACCCAGGTCCTTGTTATTGGAGCAACTAACAGACTTGACTCACTGGACCCTGCACTGAGGCGAGCTGGGAGGTTTGATCGGGAAATTCGTTTAGGGATCCCAGATGAAGCAGCAAGAGAAAAGTATGTGCTAGAAAGTTTAAGCTGCTTTTTGATTAATTAATAAATAAGGAAATAATGTGTAAGTTAACATAAAAATTCAAGAAAAGTTTTGTGCTTAGTCCTGTTTGTGCCTGCACACACTTGTGGATCGCCACACACTGAAAAGTGCAGAAGACATTAAGTGTGCATCTGTTCTTTGTCTTGGTAGCTGCGACTATATTTGGGGTGGTTTCATTTCTTGGGCAGCTGTTAATGGGTTTTCAAGTGCCTTAACAATATAGAGGGTGGAATTAAATATATCTTTCTTGTTGTTCAGAAGGTTAACATTAGTGCTTCTATGGAACTGTTAAATTAGGAACATGCATGCAGTATAGCCCATTTGTTAGTCCTCTCGAGCACATACCTTAAGCAACAGGCCTAGGTTCTTCCATTCCATTTGTTGTGGAAATACACCGATCCAGGCATTAAGCTGAGCTGCAGTCATCCTATTATGTAACTGGCCCCTTTATACTCCAAAGGTCTGTGACTGTCAGACCAGGTGGAAAAACCAAACCAAAACAAAAACCCCACAACTTTTTTCTTTTCTTAATTAAAAAGGAACTGCTACTCATTTCCACAATAGCAGAAAGCACAGGAAGGGAAATGTGAAAACAGCTGTGGCTTATCTGAGTTATATGGAAGAAAGAAAGGTTAAAGGATAAGTTCCATCTAGCTCAACTAACTTTATTTCTAGGTTGGCAAAGCAAACTATTCTGCTCGCAGTATTGCTCACTTTGTGTTGTCAACACTACTGGCCATTATTCCACCCTTTTCTTCTTTCCCCCCACCCCACCCCTAAAGCCCCTAAACATAATTACATAAAGCCCCTAAACATAAATACATAAATACATTACAAACCCCTAAACATAATTACTTTATGTAATTATGTTAGTCTTGGTTGCGGGAATACATGCAAGTGGTTAGAGGTAGAACTAAAGAATTTACTGTTGAGAGTTCTGATTCTGATATTTCTTTGGTTTGTGTTAAAAATATGATACTCAATATGATATTCCCAGAAACAGCACTGCTTCCAAGGATAGGAGTTATGAATGGGAAAGCCATCATAGCGTGTAAAGATTGTTCAGGAGCTAGTCTTACTCGTTCATGTAATTGTTCTGTACAGTTGTTTGTATTTGTGTTTCTGGAGGTGTAGGCTTACAGGAACTGTTGATTTTATGTTCTCTTTTAAATTACCATTCCCCCCCCCCCCCCAGCTTTACTGTTTGTTTTGGCTTTGGGGTGGTTTCTTCCTTTTTTAGAAAAATAAAAGGGTCATATAGAAGCAGAAGTCCTTATAGCGTGTTGGTTTACCACGTAATAAAGTCTCACTGAAGGTGTGATATGAACTGCCTAGTTGTGGTTCTACAGCCTTAGGGGAGTAGAGTAGGATGAGGAGCAGAACCTGGAGATCTTGCTTTACTTGAGGTGTTTTCTTCTGCATGTGTGAAGCACATAAAGGAAAACAATATATGTAGGGGACAGATTTGTAATGAGCCATTTACAGTTCTTAACACTTTACCCTCTGAGTCACTTGCTTCCCTACAGATGTTGTCAGACAGGTTGAAAAAGTCTTGAGAAATAAGCCAATGTCACTGATACAGATTTAAATGAGAGACTATGGAAATTATTAGTGGGGGAAATATCTATTATTATTAGTGGGGGAGGCAAACAGATGAAAAATATTTAAGACTTGAATAGTTTAATAACTTGCTCTTTTCAGAACTTTTCTGTAGTTACGTTACTTGATCTGGAAATAATTTAAGCTAGTTTTCATTGGAACTAGAAAGTACATGAATGATGTTCTTTGGTTTGTGCTGCCTTTTTAGAATATTTTCCCAATGAAGTGACGTTTTGCTGTTTTAAACAAGTTGATTTGATCCCTCTGCTTAGAGTTCTTCAGCACCAGTATTTGTGCGGTGACACTGTCTTTTGTCTTTGTTTTTTAACTATTCATGTAGTTTTCAGTTGTCCTTGGCTTAGAATAACAGCAGGAAGACTTGGTGGACCTTGAAGGAGGTTTTTAAAGCTTGGGCCTTGATACAGAGTGAAAAAACTGCCATTAAAAAAGTATGCAGCATAGCATTTCAGTGTTAGTTTCCTAGAGCTGTTTTGTGTTAGTGATGGAACTGCATAGGTAGGTGTAACTTCAGCTTTTGAATCAGGATGACGTAACACATGAGATGTACATGTAAACTGTTGGAAATGCCTGTTGGAAATTTTATGGGGGACACAGGAAATATGTGCAATTACATTCAACTGACAATGGTAGAGGAAGGATACCGAAGATTAAAAGACAGAGCTCCTCAGGCAGTCTGATTCCATTTGTTCTTTGCAAATAGTTTGTTGTGGATGTTCTTTGATAAATAAATAAATCTGGTGTGGAACAGACAATGCAGACTAAGGTTGTTGTGAATACAAGGTTGAATACCTCAATGGATAACTTATGTGTGTCCCTGTGGTACACGCTGAGATCTCCTCTGTCAATGTAGAATCATAAACTGAGGTTTAAAGAATCTATAACGTTGAGATTCACCAAAACCAGCTTTTACCCACTGATTGACATATTTGGTTGATGCTGGTTTTTGTTTAAGAACTGAAAGGAAATATGTAGTATGGGTTTGTGGGTTTCAGTGTTGATAACTTTCTAGTTGAGTGAAAACTGTTCCTGCTGTACTACTTCATGTGGACTGAGAGAGACCATAAATCGATGCTGTTTGTTTTCATATGAAGATTAAAAAAGCCACAGATTAATCTTTATTTTGTTGTGCTTTTTCTCCCTACTTGTTCAGAATTCTTCGGACTTTGTGTCGAAAACTTAAGCTCCCAGAATCCTTTGAATTTCATCACTTAGCACGGCTGACTCCAGGTTATGTAGGTGCTGATCTGGTGGCACTTTGTCGTGAGGCAGCTATGTGCACAGTGAACAGGGTCCTGATAAAATCTGAGCAGCAGAAAAGGAAACACATACACGCTGGAGGAAATTCAGCTGAAGAAAGCATGGGAATAGAAACGGATATCCTGGTGGAAGAGGATGCCAAACAACTAGAACTTCCTCATAAGGTATTTGTTCACTGAAGTGTGTGCCTCTTAAGGTATAAATCTAAAAGCATAACATAAATCTTAAGAATTGAGCCATCTTATAGTTGGGAAAGTCATTGCTCATAAATCCTTAAACATCTATGGCAAATGTAATACGAAATTTACATATAGAAATAGCAGCTCTTAAGCCAAAAGCTTACCTCCTAATGACCCACATAATGGATCTGAATAAGTGGCTTCCAAAACCTACACCTTCTAAAGACAGTGTTAATGTTTTATACAAGGTGTGGTCTTTCCCTTGGGTTTTTCATTGTTGTTGTTGGTTGTGTTGTTTTGTTTTCTAGCAGACCAGAGGTTAAAATAGTGGCTCTATCTGTCTTCAGAAGTAACAGAATGTTGAGAATATCAGACGTGCACTGAGGTTTTCTTAAGCTGTTTGCTGTGCCCTCCGTGTAATATCTCTTATGATGCCTGGGGCTCTTCCCTGACCTGGTATAGTTACAGGTAGCCAAAAATAGGAAGTACTAACACAGTTTACATTTTTCCTTCCAGCTGTGTGATTACTTGTGGTAAATCCCATTTGGCATCTAGTACCTATAGCAAATTTGAGGGAGAGGTATGCATCCAGTAGAAAAGTTGAGTTAGCAATGTGATTTGAGAAAGTATCTCTTAATGTGCAGCACAGCTGGAACTCTGTGGCAGAAAATAGCATTTCCAGTGCCGGAATTACTCTGTGGCCTAGGTAACGTGCTGTGGTCAGTGAACCAGACCATCTTTATTTAGGAGTTCTTGGCCCTACTTCTCAAAATTTGGAGCATGTATGTGGCTTCATTACATGTAGGCTTCCTAAAGATTTGTCTGAAGAACTAAACCAAAGTGGTTTTAAGTCCATGTTCTACTCAGATTCTGGTTTTAGAAGGACTGTCAAAGAAAACTGCTATTGTCATTAACAAAAAACAGTGTTAAAAACCATAGTAAGATTTTGTATTAGAATAACATAATCACACTGCAATAACTCCCAGTGTTTTCTGGGGCCTGACGTAGCCAAAAGAAAGCAGGACGGGGCAGGTAGTTGCAGCTTTTATCAACATCACCATGATCAAAGGGGTTATTGAGGATGAGGAAGTCTAATCCTAACAGAGCCATATTTTGATAGCTGGCAGGAGGTTGACATAGTCTAATACAGGGCATTGTCATTAAAACCATTATATTATGTTTATAATGGGAAAATAAACATACAAAGCCTTTAAAAATCATTCACACAATTCAAGTAAACAAACCCAGTGGTCTTGGCTATTTCAGAGTTTCTTTTAATGGTTCTGTTAAGGAGAGAGAGCTTAAAAGGATTATTGGGCACTATTTCTTTGAGATCAGTTGTAGAGCTATCTAAGTTGCAACAAATAGGAAGAGATACATTATCCATATACTTTTGTAGGAAAAATGTGGAAACTTAACAGGGTTTACTCAGTACTTTTCTCCCTCTATCTTATAAATGAAAACCCTGGTATAGTTTTCTTGTGGTGCAGTGTCAATTAGCTTCAATACAGCCTTTCTGTATGAGAACTGGGATGTATTTGTGTGCAACTATAAAGTTCTTTGATCAAGTATTTTCTCAGTTTCCCCAATAAGGAACCAACTGGGGAAACTGGAATGTACCTGCCTGGGGCACTGTGGTCTGCAAGATGGAACAGCATTGAAAAGCATTACCCTGTGTCTCTATTCCATTTGCCCAACTTTATCAGGGCCTTATTACAAAACCAGGTCTAATCAGACTGAGGAAATGAGTTGATGACTTGAAATCAGATTATGTTAAATCAAAGTACATGATCTAAAAGTGTCTGTTAAGAGTTTTAAAGGTTTATACGTAACTGAATATTCTGCAAATTGTTGGAATTGTGCTGTTCAACAGAGTTGTTCATTTTCTCTTGAGAACAATTTGTTATTAAACCCAGAATTAATACATATAATACATGTTTTGGAATTTTCAGCATGGAAAGAACTTTTTCCTAATCAGAGTGGGAGAACCAGCAGGAAGAATTTGAAGACAAAATACATGTGCTAGCTCTGTAGTATCTAAAATAAGACTGTAGTCTGTCAGCTCAGTGCTTTCACAGAACATTTTTATCATTAATGTTCATTTTTAATGTTATTTTACATATTTGATGTGTATCATACATAATTTGTTTTATAATAATACATATTATAGTTGAATAAAGTATTGCTTTGGAAAAGCCCTTAAACAGTGGTTCTTAAAATCTACTCCAGTGCATAACCTTATTCTTTCCATATATCCTCAGGATGAATTGCAGAGGCTTTTGGATTTGCTGAAGAAGCAAGACCCCTTGCCTGAGGAGCAGCTGCAGAAGCTGTGCATTGAGATGAATGATTTTATTGTTGCACTGTCATCTGTGCAACCCTCTGCCAAGAGAGAAGGCTTTGTCACAATTCCTGATGTGACATGGGCAGATATCGGAGCCCTGGAGGACGTTCGGGAGGAGCTGACTATGGCAATATTGGTATGTCTTAACCTTTCTTTCAAAGATACGAGTTTTGCACTTCCCACTCTGTAGGAAATAAAACTATGCTTGTTTGGTTTTTAAGATTTATTTAAGGTATAATGTGCTGCCCATGAGTTCTAATATGCTACAACCTAGGAATTTTACATCTTCATTTAAAACTTCATTCCTCAGATTCCTCTAATTTGCTGTCAAATTTATTATGAGTCTGGCACATGCATTTAACCTTTCACTTACTGAAAACTGAAAGCATCAATACAATGTGTTCTTTATGACTGAATCTTAAGTGTTCTATGATTTTTGTACAAATAACCTTAATTATGCAACTGCCACACAAAGAATTGGAGGCAGCTTAGGTGGAAGGTTAGCGGTCTCGCTGCTGCTTAGCACTAACACCTTAGTGTCAGCGTCTGACTTGAGAAAACTCCAGTGTCAGACCTGCTTCCTTCATGATCCAAAGAGTGAAATTAAGACACAAACAAGGTCAAGTACCGTAATCAATCAGTTGGCTTATTACAAAAAGACAATTATTATAAAAAGGGAAATAATTACAAAAAAGGGGATAGCGATAGGACGTTGGAAGAAGGGTAGAAATGAAGCAAGAATTCAGTGTGCAGAGAGAGAGGAGTCGTTAGAAGTGGTGGGAGTCCTTCAGGGTCTGTAGTTGGTATCGGAGCAGAGTGTCCCCAAATAGTCGTTGGAGATGGGTGGATGTTCTCTTGGAAGTGTCCTTCTGGATTTGTCACCTTGAAGGTGTGCTTCTGGAGCTGTCCTGATGGCGATGTCTCTTTCCTGATTTTATAATGAATTGGGGAGACGTCATGTATTACATGCTTCTCGTGGACCAGTTTTGCTGGTCTTGCAGCCAGCTCTTCAATTGCACATGTCTGCAGCAATTCTTGGGATAATGGACAGCAATTCCTCACACTTACTGAAGAGTCTTATCTCAGCCCTTCCCACTCATCTCTTAGGCAATGGATGGTGGAGTCCCACTTCAGCTCCTCACACCCTTCTCCCAGGCAGTGGACATTGGAGTCTTAACTCCTCCCACGCATCTCTGAGACAATGGAACGTGGAATCCCATCTCAGCTTCTCATACCAGTCTTTGGGACAATGGACAGTGGAGTCTGATTTCAGATCAGTCTCTCACACTTAGGATGAGAACTTAGATAAATAAAATCATTGTTTCTTAGTAATGATACTTCTCCCATTTGGGGGCACTTAACCACTGCAGGATAATAAGATGCTGATTGACTGTTTATTCTTTTAGCCTATAAAGAATTGGAATAAAAAAACTTGCTTATGAAGGATTTTTTAATCCAACTGTAGCTGAAATGAAAAATTCCATGTTAGCTGTTTGTCACAGATAACGATGATGATTTCTTTTCTAGGCGCCTGTGCGAAACCCAGAGCAGTTTAAAGCTCTTGGCCTGACTACTCCAGCTGGTGTCCTCCTTGCAGGGCCTCCTGGATGTGGTAAAACACTGTTAGCTAAGGTAATACATTTTCTAAACCTAGAATCATAGCATCAAGGAGGTTAGAAAAGACCTTCAAGGTCCTCAAGTCCAGCCATTCCTGCCAAGTCCACCACTAAACCATGTCACTAAGGGCCTCATCTACATGATGTTTGAACATTTCCAGGGCTGGTGACTCCACCACTGCCCTGGGCAGCCTGTTACAATGTGTTTAAAAATACTGGAGAATCTTCTTGAAGTGGATGTTTTTGTAGGAATGGCTGAGTCTGGATGATACTGCCAGAAATTTGGGAGTAGTCTACACTCCATTATATTTATGTATTTTTGTTTATTATATTCCTTCTCCTTGGAGCATTTCTCTTCTTATGGCCTCCCCATGTAGATGCAGATAATCATTCCAGATTGTCACTTATCTTTGTCTTCAAATGCACTTATGTAGTTGAATATCTCTTCCACTAATTACTGTGATTTCTTCAGCCAGTATGGGGGAGGACAGTGGGGTGTGAATCTGGAATGCTGCCTCATTAAAGAGAGATAACACCTTGCTAAAATCCCCACCCCCTTCCCACTTTTCATTGCATATAATTATACTTCGTTCTGTTTTCTATATTTTACAAACAACTGATAACTGTGATCATTCCTTTAAGTTTGTTTATTGCTTCATGGACAGAACCAAAGAAAACATGAAAAATGTGTGTTTTATATATATACATCTGTTTTTTTCTTTTTGATAGGCTGTGGCAAATGAGTCTGGACTGAACTTTATATCTGTGAAAGGCCCTGAACTGCTAAATATGGTAGGCATTAATCATTGTGCTTTTGTTATTTATGGAATTCTTGTCCAAAGCATGGGGCAAGCAAAGTTCCTGGTAATTACACAACTGTTACTGTGCAACTCAGGTTGCCTCATCTAACCCCTGCTTAAAGTCTTTGGTTTTTTCTTTTACACATGATCAACTTCACTGCTACCTGGGTAGATTAAGTATGTATCTTGGTTTAAATTACATGGCAAATGGAGCCTTCTTGATTGAAGTAGGATTTCTAAATGACCAACTGCATGAATCATTGCTTTATGTAGATCAGGAAAAAGAATAGAAGTTCAGACCTACAGTGAGAACAGCTGATGATCAGTAACTTGTCCAACAGGGCCCTTAATGAAGATTGTATTTGTGAATTATGGAATCATTTACATTGGAAAAGACCTTTAAGATCATTGAGTTGAACTGTTAACCTAGCACTGACTGCCAAGTCCACCACTAAACCATGTCGCTAAGTGCCACATCTACATGTCTTTTAAATACCTCCAGAGATGGTCACTCCACCACTGCCTTGGGCAGCATGTTCCAATCAGAGAATCATAGAATGGTTTGGGTTGGAAAGGACCTTAAGATCATCTAGTTTCAACCCCCTGCCACAGGCAGGGACACCTCACACTAGGCAATGTTTAACAACCCTTTCTGTGAAGAAATTTTTCCCAATATCCAATCTAAATCTCCCCCAGTACAACTGAGTCCATTTCCTCTTGTTTTACAGCTTGTTACTTGGGGCAAAGAGACTGACCCCCACAACACTACAAACCTCCTGTCAAGAGCTGACTTGTAGAGGCTCTCCCCTGAGCCTCCTTTTCTCCAGGCTAAGCAACCCAGTTCCTCATCAGACTTGAGCTCCAGGCCCTTCAACAGCTTTGTTGCTGAACTTTGGACATGCTCCAGCACCTCAATGTCTCTCCTGTAGTGAGGTGCCCAAAACTGAACATGGTATTTGAGGTACGGCCTCAACAGTGCCGAGTACAGGGGGACTATGACTTCCCTAGTCCTGTTGGCCACACTGTTCTCATCAGCAGACTCATGGCAAGTTAGATTTTTATTCCCCAAAAAGTAAACCAGTAAAAAGTTTAAACTCTAAATGTACTGCAAACTGTCAGAAGTGAGCTAGTAACGACTAGTTCCCATGTAAATCTAGATCAGTAAGGACACAGAAACAGACTGTTATCAGAAGTAAACTGGTTAGCAGGGTGCACTTCTCCCTTGTGAAGCACCTCAAATACTGTTTAAAACTGTTCTTTTTCAATTGATTTTGTTTCTAAGCAAAATCTTCATGTCTGAAATTTTTTCACTGATTTGTCATTTGTTTTAGTATGTTGGCGAAAGTGAGCGTGCTGTACGTCAGGTATTCCAGCGAGCCAGGAATTCAGCCCCTTGCGTTATATTCTTTGATGAAGTTGATGCTTTGTGCCCTCGGAGGTCTGACCGTGAAGTGAGTCTGTTGTAAAATATCTCCTATAAGTAGATTATCTCAATTGCAGGTTTTGAGGCATTGTGCTAGCAACATAAGCAGCGGGAAGGTTGTTAGGTTCAGTATCTCCCAAGAAAAACAATCCAAGAGGCTTTCTCATATTTGAGGAAAAATATGTTGGTCAAATATTATAAAGCTTAATTTTTTTTTTTCTTTTAGTATGCATATCTAGAAAAAATTACCCAGAAAATGTGTGTAGATCTACCAAGTAGGCTGTGTAGAGGAGGAGGAAAAAATGAAGGAGTGCAGTTCAATATCATGTTTCATTTATGGCCCAATCTGATACCTGTACGCAACTGTAATGCTTGCGTGAAGCATGTATTTATTTGAACAAGTGAACTGGGTCATGAAAATACCTGAGGCAGGAGCATAAGTGGAATGCATTAGACTTCAGAGCTATTCCACCTGTGAGGTTTTCTCTGTCTATTAAGCACTCAAACCCATATTAGTAGAATTTAATATGATTAGAATTTAATGCTAAGATCATAATAGTAGAAATCCAGAATACAGCTACATTGAAAGTGTGAAAAAGAAACTCTGAGTAGTATTTCAGGCGAGGGAGCTAGCAGAGATTTTGCTTCTTTTACTTTGAAATATTCATATTCCCACTGTTTTCTCAATTTTGTTGACAAATGTCTCCTTTCAAAGTCAGGAGCCAGCGTCCGAGTAGTTAACCAGTTACTCACAGAGATGGATGGTCTGGAGAATCGTCAGCAGGTTTTCATTATGGCTGCCACAAACAGGCCAGGTAAGGACCCAAAAATCATAAGCAAGAGAAATCAGACCTCTCAGGTTCTCTTCTCATGAAATCTTGTGTTCTTACATATTTCAATTCTACAACCTTGTTCTGTCCTTAAAATTACAGTGTCTCCTCAAACCTTTCCTGTTCAATTAATCTGTTCCACATTCTTGGGACAGTGTAAGATGAAGCAACCACTCTAAACTGTGTCTGAATTAGCACCTGGTATCATTGCTGTACAATGCTTTGAAAGACCTTCGACTGAATTGGATTTTGGATTACCTTCTTGGAACATGAAAGAGCAAAAGATAACTAAAACATGAATTATATATTTTTTGCTGCTTAGATTGATTTTTTTTTTTTTTTTAATTTTTTTTTTAAATCCAATACAGCCTTACAGTCTTTTGTTGTTTTAATTTTTGTTTACCTTGAGGTTTATCTCATGTTAAATCATTTTCCCATTTGCTTATCTTTTGGTTCTTGGGCTTCATGTTCTGAACATGGTTTCCCCCTTGAGTTCTTTGCATCGTGACAGACTATCAAACCTTCTACATGGTGAAGTATGAGCAGTAGATGCTTAAATCAATATCTGTTGCAGAAATTCTTTGATTTAAACAGGTGGGTTCTCTTGGCATGAGCTTGATGATTCTGACCTATCTAATCCAGTATAGAAAAGGGAATAACATTATGCAGTGTAGCACATTTATACATAGGTACAGTTGGATGAACCAAGTGTGTTAATACTTCATGTCATCAGGTTGCCTTAGGAAGGAAATCTCTTGCTAAATTAGTCACACTAGTGCAAGTATTTATATCAAGCAGCCCTATTTGTTAGTGTTTCTCAAGGGTTTCATATCTAATTACTGGTGACAGTAAACTCATCATTATCTCTGGTAGCTTGAGATGTGAATTGCAACACTTAGGAAGTTAAGGAAGCATCCAGCTTGATTTCCTGCAGTGCCACCTCAGGTGTACCACAGGTATACATGGGGTGAATACTTTTAGGGCCAGCGTGTGTATGTGACGCTGTTCTGAGCTAATGACTGCTCTTGTAGAGGCAGCTGAATGCAAGTAGTTTAGTAGATTTAACTGGGCCAGTTCAGAGTAAATGTTCCTCAGATGTTAATTTCAAGAGATGAAAACTTGTGTGTAGATCAGCAGATTAAACTAATATTTGGAGGAAGCTGAAGGAACTTGGTAAGGCATGAACTCAGCAATGTATTACTAGCCAGTGACATTGATGATAAAAGTGAATTTCAGGTTAAAATGCCAAACATAAAGAAAATTAAAAGGCAGGGATAACAAATCTGATAACTAAATGGAAGTGTACGAATGCGTCTACACATTCTGTAAATGCAGTTGAATTCTATCCTGATAAAGGGGTTGTTTTGCCAACACGATAGAACAGCAGAGGTTGGCACATTCAGCCTTTGCTAGATGAGGCAATTATCTATGCATTTTGGATAGGATGTGTCTCTTGCTTGAGAAGGCTATCAGCTGTGAATAATACCTTGGATAAGTTTAGACTACAAACTTTTTCTGTGATGTCTGCATTGTGAAGAAACATAGGTTCCAGTTGATGCAGCTTTTGTCAGAACAACTTTTACCGATGCTGTGGTTAAGCTGGGGAAACCAGTTTTCTTTTGTGCAGTTTATTCACCATTTATGGGGCTTAAGAAGAGGCAGTGTTCACCAAATTAAATTCTACTAGTATAGTTTGGGTGTCTAATAGGAGCACACTGCAGATAGAGAACTTTATGCTAGTAAAGCAGTCTTACCAGGCAGAGACCTGAAGAAGGACCATTGCTTATACTGACTAGTATACTTAAATGAATCCCACAAACAATAAACGTTGTGGTGTCTGAAAAGCTCTTTTGCTTAGAGGTCTGACATTGTTGTGAAAGATTTTTCTGTCACAGTTATGTGGAATGGGGGGGGGAGGGGACTGTATAATATAAATCTAAATAATATGTGTCCCAGCAGAACTTCTTAAAACCTTCCATTGGATCTGTATTGTGAAGTGCAAGATCTCATCTTTTTTTTAAATCCATGTTAATGGGAGAGAAAATGGTTTTTCAAGCTACTTCTTTTTTAGTGTGGTTACATGCATGTTAGCTTTTATAGTTGGTTGATTATACTGTTCATGACTTTGTGTATGTTGGTCAGCATTGTAGTCTCAGAGACCATCATGTCAAAAGAAGAGCCTTCTCTCATAAAATTATCATTATTATTAAGAATAACAGTACTAGCAGTAGGGTAGCAGTTTTGGCATCAATGTGTGTTCCTGGCACAGTTGTTCCAGTGGGGTGTTAGTACCTGTGACAAGGAATTATTGTGACATGGTGGTGGTTTATATACTCTGTGGCTGAAGATTGCCAAATTCTTTCTTTATAATGGCTTTTAAGGACTTGGAACACTCTAATTTCCATCTTTCCAAAAGGACAGGCACAATAGATTGGTGTTTACCACATACGATCTGCACGTGGTAATTCTTACTCTGGCAGTGCTGAAATAAGCCTTTGATCTGCCCTAAGAAGTAGGATATTTGAATGGTTTATGCACTTCCTCGGTGACATTGAAAGTCCTCTGTGGACCTTTCTTGACTACTGCTAAATTAGCAGGGATGCAGTATTCCCAGCTCAATCTCTTTCCACCTAAATGCAGAACCAGTGTTAAACTTTGTCTGAAGAGGATTAAACTTTTAAAGCACTCAGTGTCATTAAAAAGACAGAGGGGGAAAAAAAAGAAATGTCATGTTCTCTTAGAAACCTTATGGTTCAGAAAATTATATGCTTTTTCAGTCTGTTCCCTTCCCCAAATCCAAGACTAAGTATTCACAAAACCACCAAGCACTGCTGTTAACTAAGGCCTGTAATTTCCCACAGTTTCCTACTTAACAGTGTGAGCTTCACTATTGGATACTGCTGCTTTCTGCTCTTTTCTTACTTGACTAGGCTTCAAATATTTATAAGCTCTTTAGAGAAATGCTGCATTTATGTAGGCTCTAAGGAACTGTATGTAACGTGAGAAAACATCAAGAAACCAGTAAAATGCTACAAGCTGATAGTGATTATAAGCTTGATGTAAATGTTGACGCTTGTCTTTGCTTTTATTCATGGTCTTTTTCTTGCAGAATTCCTCTTGTACTGTTATCTTAGAGCATGGTCCTAGTTCCAGTGGGTTCTGCTTTTCTTTTAGCAAGTTTATGTTAGTTTTCTAGAGCCAGTCACCTGAACCACGTGTTTGAAGCACAGTAGAAAACTAATCTTCAGTCTCTGACAATAGTTCCAGTTTTGGTTTGGGATTTTTTTGTTTGTTATGATTATATCTGTTTATACGTGTTGCGGAATTAAAGGCAAGATAAGATCTAAGAAAAGCACCAAATACGTGAGGCCTGGAACAGTTTCTTTCATAATAGCTCCAATTCACACAAATCACATTTCTGCATTTCACCTGCCCTTGAACATTATGTATCCTTAACAGGAATTTTGGGGGAGTTAGTTTGTTGCGTAGGAGCAAAGTTGTTAACTGCAGAGTTCATCTGGAGTCTCAGAAAACCTTTCAGGGCTTCTAGAACCTTTCTGAGCTCCAGAATGTCACGAGTGTGAGGACCTGGATCTTGTATACTTCAAATCACAGAATCATAAAATGGCTTGGGTTGGAAAGGACATTAAGATCATCTAGTTCCAACCCCCTGCTATAGGCAGGGGCCACTCACACTAAACCATGTCACCCAAGGCTCTGTCCAGCCTGGCCTTGAACACTGCCGGGGTTGGAGCATTCACCACTTCTCTGGGCAGCCTGTGCCAGCGCCTCAGCACCCCCACGGTGAAGAACTTCTTCCTTATAATTCTAAAAGCTGTAGTGACTACAGCAGAAGCTTGATGGACTCAGCACAATAGTTGTTGCTGGTGTATGCACTGAACTTTGTAGACATCGTTGACTCTTGCAAGTTAAGACATGAATAATCAACTGGAAATGAGTGTGAGACTACTAGATTTTATTATAGGACAATAGAACATCAAGTTCTAGGGATTCATGCAAAGATACTTTCAAGAGAATTTAATGAAGAGGATAACATTTTGCAGTAGTTTGGAGAACAGTGTGGCAAACTGAAATATTACATCACTGAAATATTATTCTAATGCCTGTTTTAACCTTTAAAAACAAAGCCAGGAATGGATGTTCTCTAAATTTCTCCTTAAGTAATTTTGACAGATTATTTGGAAAATGGTACTACTGTCTTCTAATGGCATAGTCATCACCATTGACTACATCACGAAATCAAGACAGAAAATAGACATTTCTCTCAATAGAAGTATATTTTCTCTGTGAGATAACTGCTTGGAAAAGAAGTGCTGTGTGTTAGCACGTTTCCAAGTTTCACTTTCAAACTTGAGATGTAGTAACAGGCTTTGAAAGAGATATCTATGATAACTACCTTAACTTCATTAGAATGTTAAATGTAGCTAAAATTAGTTGACTCTCTTTGTTTAGATACGTTTCAAGATAATAGATATGGAGAGAACTTTATGATTTATCAGAATGGAATGCTTTGAAATCCCTAAAAGGGGAGCATTATTCAATTCTTTTAAACAGTTTTGAAGTGCATCTGATGAGTGGGTTTGACCGGTCAGTAAATACTAATTTTCTCTGTTGATGTGACTTGAATTTTCAAGAACTTCAGGCCCAGGTTTGAGCCAGCGGAATGAAGTGAATTGACTCCTAAGGAGGTGGGGAGTGCAGATCTGTGTTTTCAAGTTTGGTGTCGTCTCATTGTAAACCACCAGTACTGTAACTTACTGAGTTAGTATGAGTTGTGGTAACTCTTTGAATGTGGGCAATCTAATCACTAACATACAAATGGATGAATGCATCTTTAGACGGTATCATTAACTTGGTGTCATTGTGCCATGCTCTCAGAGTGCAAAATGGAAACAGTTTTTTCCATGTCAAGCTTAATTTTTTTAAAGAGCTTTTGAAACTTCAAACGGGGAAGTTCTCAAGTGCATGGTGGTGTAATGCAATCCCTATTGAGAGTGTTTGTTTTGATTGTTGTAATTGATCTGTGGAGGGAACTTTGTCATCTGACCTTAATAATGTGGCAAGACTTCCGTCCACAGGCACATGAAAACAGGAAAGTGCACTTGTGCAAAAAGCAAGATAACATATCATATAGCACTGTACACAGATATGTAAGTCAGATGTTCGGTTTTTTCCCTAGGACTGCCATGGCAAGGATTCTGCTTAACCCTTGTTTCATCTGGTTAAATCATAATTTAATCCAAAAGTATGGATTAAATTAATACATTAAGTTCTTCCCTTTTTTTTTCCCCCCCACTGAGAGGATGAAGGCACAGACTCCAATGAAAGATCAAAGACATAATTTATTTGCTGGCTGCGTTTATGTATCTTCTGCTGACAGAAAGGTTCCACTTGGCTACAACTGATTGGTCATTCTTATCTGTTCACGCCTTAAACATTTCATTTGCTACCTACTGCTGCCCGCGTGACACTACGTAATAGAGCTGTTAACTCTAACTTGGCATCTTCTCTTCGTCCTTGCTCCGGGTTCAATCTTGTTCATGTTCGTCTTTACCCTCTGGGGCCTTCTTCTATCAGCTCCATGTACTCGTGGCCTCCTGTCTCTGCTAGGAATGTCTCCACACCCCACCATTTGCAGTAGCTGATTTTTGCCTACATAGATGCCTCTGGCCATGATTAGTGTATCCTGAGGGGAAAAAAAATACTTTCGTCCAAGAAAAAGATAGTGGAGCAAGTTTTATGTATGCATCTCATTTTACCTTTTGTCCTTTAAGCATAGGTGAGAGAATAACTTGAACATAACTGTACATGTCTTTAAAAAGTGAATCAGGACTACATTGTGGTAGATCAGGTAGTTGGAGTCTTGACAGAGTTAAGCAAACTCTTTGCTTTAAACTCGCTTGGCTTTAAACTGACAGAGGGGAGATTTACATTAGACATTAGGAAGAAATTCTTCCCTGTGAGGGTGCTGAGGCGCTGGCACAGGGTGCCCAGAGAAGCTGTGGCTGCCCCATCCCTGGCAGTGTTCAAGGCCAGGTTGGACACAGGGGCTTGGAGCAACCTGCTCTGGTGGAAGGGGTCCCTGCCAATGGCAGGGGGTTGGAGCTGGATGAGCTTTAAGGTCCCTTCCAATCCAAACCATTCTGTGATTCTATGAAACTTCTTTTATTTGCCAAGAAGGGATAGCTGTACTTCCATGCTTGGGGGTTTGGCTGGTGGTTTCTTTCTTTTAAACATCTGTACAGTAAGGATTAACAGCTTAACTTTTCCCAGTTCTTCACCTTTAATGAATATATGAATGCATGTAGTTTGTGTGTTAGCAATGTTTTGCCAAGAGAATGTAACAAACTGGAAGCATTTTTTTCCCTTGTTATGAATTAATGTGCAATTCCTCACTCAACCATGCTAGATATGACAGTAAACTTGTTCTAGTACTATACTGCCAAAGATAAGAGTTGTCTGTTTTTTGTGAAGACATGAAGCTGGTATTTATGAGCCATCTTTGAGAGATGCACCTTTACTGTTCTGGGTAATAGAGGCTCCTACTGGACAGAGATGAAACTATTTTAATCAGCTATTTTAATGCTCAGTGCTTCAAATCATAGCCCGAATTTTGCCTTCTTTGAATCTCAATACAAGTATGCATGTATTGCTTCTCACATGTGCACTTCCCTGAGGTTGTATCTCATTTCTGGATATTGTTTTCTTTTTTCTCCTTCCCTAAGATATAATTGACCCAGCTATCCTGCGCCCTGGGAGACTGGATAAAACGCTTTATGTGGGTTTGCCACCACCTGAAGATCGACTTGCTATTTTAAAGACCATCACCAAAGTGAGTATTTGGAAATAAATCCTTATCTCGAAGCTTGGTGGAATGACTTAAGAGGAGTTAAATTTTACATGAAATTGCAGGCTCCTGTCTCATGAAATACTTTCAAATATCACATGAGGTAATAAAAATAAACCATCAGTTACATCTGCTGTTAAAATTGCTCTGAGCTGATAAATCTTGAGTAAAGCAGACCTGTTAAGCATAGAAGCTGCTGCTTTTATAATTACAATTTGAACAGTTTTAATTAAAAGATTCCTATCTGTGTGAGTAATGGGCCTAGAAGCATTTTGCAAACTTTTTTGGGGGGGGTTCCACTCATTCACCAGGATGATTCACAAGCTCCAGCTGAATTTGCTCAACAGCAATTGTGCCACTTAATTGCCTTTAGGATTAAAGGAATCTTGTGATGATAAAGTTTGTAGGTCAAAGTAAATATGAAAATGTAAAATGTCACAGGTCCTCCCTGTGGTTAACGGCACATTCTGCCACTTCAGAGATGTGGATTATAGAATTCTAAAGAAGTTCTTTACTGTCAGGATGCTGAGGTGCTGGCACAAGGTGCCCAGAGAAGCTGTGAATGCTCCATCCCTGGCAGTGTTCAAGGCCAGGTTGGACAGAGCCTTGGGTGACATGGTCTAGTGTGAGGTGTCCCTGCCCATGGCAGGAGGTTGGAACTAGGTGATCTTAAGGTCCTTTCCAACCCGAACCATTCTCTAAGTATTACAGCAGTAATAAAGGCCTTTAAAAAAGAACATGGAAATCATTATGAATTACTTGGATGTTTTCTACTTTTCCCAGTAGATCATCAGCATTAGTTGTTAAAAGCAGGTATTCAGTCAGATTTTATGGGTGTTTTTGTGAGCTGCACTGGAGACCAAATCTTCACTCTAAGGAAAGCTAGCACTGTATTATGAAATTATTTAGGAAATTTGTAAAATGATAATTCAGACTCATGTAAGCATAAAGTTGTGGTATAGGCAATAGTTAATCCTGTAGGAGAATTCAGAAAGTGAGAACTCATTCAAGCATGTTCCTTCATGCCAAAATAGTTCCAAAGTCAGACTCTCATTATAAATTCAGGATGTTAGACTTTCCTTCATTTGTTCTATGCAGTACTTCATGGAGGATAAAAAAATATGCACTAAATCAGTTTATTGTTTCTATGTTTTATGAAAATATTTCAGTTAAAACTTCTTACAACCCTGTTATTAAAGATGGCTGCTTTCTAAAAAACCTAAAGAGACTCTGAGTGTAACATCCCTGAATCATTTTTCAAACATAGTGTAAGGAATTGTGGGTTTTATTTTATCACATTTATTTCTAAAGATAACTCAATGTGTTATGTAAAAACTGAGTTTATGTGATTGTTCTGCCTTAATAGAAACAACCTTGTTCTTCTGGAAGAAGTGGGTAGTAAGAGTCAGTCAGTCACTAGACTGTGTAAACAGAGCTTGTGGCACAGGATCATAGAATCTGCTCTGTGTTTAATACAGGTCTTGCCCTCCTTAATTATTGCTGGAGAATCTTTGGAGATTTGTGACTGTCTGAAGTGCTCTCACTGTAATCAGTGGTGTGGGGAAATAGCGCAGCAAAGCTTGGTGCAAGACTGCCTGGGTGAGGAAGGTGGTATTAAACAAAACTGATTTCTCTCACTCTCCCATCAGTTTCACCTGCTCACACTCTCACAGCCACATACAGTTGCCAAAGTGCATGCATCCATGTGGGTAGGGCCAGGATCACTTGTGTGCAGTACTGAGGGTAAGGAACTCTGTGTTGAGTCGTCACGCATCTCTTGGCTTCCTCCCGACTGGCAGTGACAAATAGTTGCTAGAAGTGTTTTCTAGGTTCCTTTTAAGAATCAAGCAGTTCAAATTGTGCTTACTTCAGCTGCCTTAAATCTTGGGCGAGGTTGCAGAGATGTCTTTGCTCCCTTCTCCTGGTAATCATATTGGCTACAGTCTGAATGTTGGGACCACACCAAGAGGAGTGGCCCATGGGATGTGGTAACCTTGTAGTTATCATGTTACCAGAGCATATTTCTGCTGACAAACCATCTTTACTGTGGCATTATCTGATCATGTGCCTTCTTGTAATATAGGCAACACACTGAACAGTGTTTTCCAGCTTGGTTTCTGTGGATTCTGTCCATGGTTATCAGGGCATGTTATTTTTGGAATGCCAGATACTTCCATGCATACTGAATTCATACCAGTCTTAATCTGGTTACAAATCTTTGTAGTGATTGAGGTGTAAAGTCTTTAACGGATTATTTTCCTCAGTTCTTAATTAAGAGACCAGCAGAAATGAGACAAAACACTCTTTGAGTGAGTCTTTGTGTGTTTCTGTGTCCATTCCATGAGGAGGCTGGGACTATCTCCCTTTACTACTTCTGCAGTCACCAGAGATCTCATAAAGCTAGGCAAAGATTTGTATTTCTAGTGTTAAGAACCAGACATAGGTTGTTATTTTCTTTAAAAATGTATAGGTGTTATCTACAGTAACAGCATGGAATATGGAGAGAGGAAAATATGTTAAATTAATTGAAATATCTTGGTTTTGGTCAGATTTCATCCACACACTCTAGGTAAGGAAATTTGAGGAATCTGAGTACCAAAACACTTGCTTAAGTGCATGCTCAGGGCTGGATAAAATGTTTGGTGCAGATGTGATGGTGACCATATGCATTCCCAGAAATCCCTGAGGAACAGATGCACAGGATGTAGAAACTGAGAATCGTTGCTGATGCTTACAAAGGCAGCATGAGGAGTGGAGAAAAGAGTTAGGGGTAGGAATAGGTTGTAAGGCAGCCAGCCTAAACGTAGGCTCAAGCCTTGTTGTGAAATGGAAGAGTTCTATTTCAGTTGACTTCTACTAATCAGGCATTTTCAAATAGCATATTAATTATTCAAGAGAAGCATGTCTTCACATGTTTAAGTTACTAGTGTTAATTACACTCCTGGAAGCTGTATCAAGCTTCTCTGGTGCACATACTACTGAGCTTGTCTCAGGGGAAGGCAGATCAGACCACTACAACAATGCCCAACCTACGTTGCTACTCAAAGCAATAGGTAAAAAACATTTCTCTTTAGCAGAGGTGGTGTCTGGCTTGCAGTCTTGTACAATTACTACAGTATCCCATATCAAATTGTATGAGGCTTCCTGGTTTCCAGGTTAAAGTCAAGATGTTGAAATGTTTCAAGATGTTTCAAAATCAGGCTGTTTCTTTTGTCTCTTTTGGTTTGGTTCCCTCCCCCATTTCCTAACTGGTATTCTACCAAAGATTCATTCAGGATTGTTCCCATACTCAGCAATCAGTAAGGAGTGACAGGACTCTTGATTATTCTACTGTCTGTTACATATTCCAGAGGTTTAATTTGCCAATTACTATACATCTTGGGTTTTTTTCTCTTGGAGGTGTTGTAGGTATGTGCTGTAGTAGTTCACCTGAAGAAGTAAGAAAATAATTACTTGAATTTGTGCATTTCTGGCAGAAATACATTAAAAAGTGTCATTTCCTATCTAAACTTGGGTATTGTTTGATCCTGTAGACATCTGGAAGCTCTGTACTACCATGAGACTACTTTAGTGTTGTCTAAGGGTAGTGGATCTCCGTGCTCACAGTGTTTGAGAATTTAGTTGGCTGGTTTCAAACATAATTGATAATGTTGGTCAATATTTTTTGCTGTTGGAGATGCAAAAATAGTAACAAAAGAAACCACTTCTGGGAATTTTGTGGAGGAAGCAGGAATAAAAAGTAATGATATGGAAGAGTAGTGTCAAACAGTCTACAGGTATGTCTACAGTATGTGTAAGCTTTTATGAAATCCAGAATGGAAAACTTCTAAGTTTGAAAATATATTTCTAGAACATAAAAGATTAATTCAGTCTTCAAGGTGTTAAAATACTCCATCTACGTGCTTATTGCTTAGGTGTTTGGTTTCAACACATAGTAAAAGTAGAGGAAGTTCAGCTAAACAATGCTATTGATGTAACCTGCTCCATAAGGCACATCCACATCTGGAACAGTGTCAGTGTTACACTGCCCTGTGACAGGCTGGCCATCATTTTGTTGGAGAAAATCTAATCTGTTGGTGGGAAGTTTAAAATGTAGCATTACTTAATATTTCATAATGAAAGGGGTTTATGGCTGCTTGTCCTTCTTGTGGGTTTGAGATGAAAAGCGTTCATGTTTGTTGATATTTCAGGGATTTTTCAGACCTCTGTATGATTTCTGATGGATGAAACTTAATCACTTTGGGGATGGCATGTGTAAGAAATAGTGGTTTCTTATCTTTCTCTTTTGATTATCTTACTCCTTCAGGATGGCACCCGGCCTCCACTAGATACTGATGTAAGCCTTGAAGAGATTGCTTACAGTCAACATTCTGATTGTTATACGTGAGTAGCTTCTAGTCTTGACTTTAATATTTAATATGCAGTGCCAAAGGTCTTCTGATGTGAGATAATGTGTGTTATGTTGCTACTATTAAAACAATCTCTTAACTTTCGGGCTTTATAGGCCTTTTCCCTGACACTACTTTTCTTGCTTTCAGTTAGGCTTTTTTCCAAGGAGTCTGTAGGTGTATATGGATGCTAAAGTCTTTTTCATCTGGAATAGTCCTCTCCATGTTGTAAATACGTATCAGCAGAGGCCTCTTGGTTTTGCTTGGGTTTATTTGCTAATCTTGCATAATCTGAGAATAAAAGAGCCCCCTGAGTTGTAGACCCATGGACAGTGATGATGAAAGCAAATTGGTTTAATTACCATAACCAGCTTCTGTCACAGAGTTGAAAGCAGTGTGCTTCACAAAGTAGTGAGAGCCTATTTCAACTTGTGCTTTGGGAATAGCAAGGCATGTATTTTAGGAAAGCCCGATAGCTGTATCTGTCAGAATAATGTGCAGTTGCACTCTACAAAACTTAAAAAAGCTTTAACCTATTAAATGATTTAGTAATAGTTAATGATTATCTGGAGTTCTCAGAAGTTAAAGTTTATGACATGCTGCTTCTCACAACATTACTTTTGAATTCAAGAAAGGGAGGCTGTCATCAGTAATAACTTTTAGTTTGTCATAGTTTCATACTTTGGAAAGATGAATACCTTTTCCTTTACTGCCTGTTTCACTGTCATTTTTGGGGGAGAAAGGGTGTTTGGTTGCTTATGGGGAGTTTTTTGTTTGGCATTTTTGGTGGGTTTGGGTTGGTTTGGGGATTTTTTTCTTTGGTTTTATGTTTGGGGTTTGTCATGTTTATGTTGGGGGTTGGTTGTGGGGTGAGTTTTTGTGGTTTGGTTTCATTATTTAAATACAGCAGCTTCCTGGTGCCCCCAAATGAAGCGTGGGGAGTTAACTGGGAATGTTCTTGGGTTCAGTGACTTGCACCAGTTTAAAGGCTTGTGAAAAGTTGAACAGCTGGAAACTAGAAGCAAATCTCTAGGAAGACTGATCTGACCCCGTTTTCTTGATACTGAATTTTAGGAGCATGTTAACAGTTGATGCAGCTTTGAGCAAGGCAGCTCCCTTTTATAATAATGGGTGATTCCATTTGAATCTTTCATAAGATTGATAGTGGAAAAAAATGTATCCTGTTCCCACAAAGTGGCACAATATTAATCAATCCTTCGGCATTTTTAAGGCTGCTAAATGGGGCTTTTGTCTCTTCCCTTGTTTCCCATTTATTTGGTCTTAATCTGTGGCTAAGACCTGGAGGTCGTCACTCCATAATGAAGGCTGCAGCACTGAGTAGCTCTCATCCCTCTTTCCAGTGCTCTGAAGATGAATCTTTATGACAGGACAACCAGTCTCTTTCTTACCATGATCTGTAGTGTCTTGCCTTTCTATATGCTACCAGCAAAAGACAAGAGGAGTTTATCCTACAGTAACCTATTGTGTTTGTATCTGTAGAGGGGCAGACCTTTCCGCTCTAGTGCGTGAAGCTTCAATTTGTGCCTTAAGACAGCAAATGGCCCTGCAGAATACTCAAAGCAAGAAAGGTAAGAAAGCTTTACAAAAATCTTAACAGAACAGGGAGAAGATAAATGGACTGTCAAGTATTTAAGGTCGTTCAAGACAAGCATAATGGCTGAGCCAAACAAAAATTGTCGGGTTTGTTTCAAGAACACATAAGCATCTTTGAAGTAATTGTAGGGAAAAGTACAGGAAAAAATGAATATGCTGCAGGTTCAGCATAGTATTTTCTTCCTAAAAGAATTGAGCCTTGTAACCTAAAAGAAAACTTTATGTTAAATTGTAGTAGTGTAATAGTGTGTCTATATACGTATATACATACTATCATAGTAGTATAAACTGACAATTCATTTACTAGACTGGACATGTCTTTGCCAAATTTCCACAGCACCACCAAAGACTAATTATACTGACTTACTTGCAAATTTGATTACATTAACTGCACCCATACTGATCATATACCTTTGGCATACAATTGTATTGTGTAACTGAATAGTTGCATCTAGTGTAATGGTGCTTGGAAGACCTGAGCACCATGTTTCTTCTTAGGCGTTGAGCTCGTCTGTGGCTCTTGCCAGGACTGTAACAGGGAATTATAAATAGTTTCAAGTACGATGTCTGCCTTTTCCATATCTCTCTGCAATTTTGTTTTAAGTTGCATTTTCCTGGTTTTGAAATTGTTCTTTCTATACAGATAGGAAAACGGAAATTGAAGCTCTTTTATATAAAATGTGCACCTAGATATTTCCCTCCCCACCCACCCAGTAATTTTGTTTGTTATTTTACCCTTAAGTCAAAATGCAAAGCTAAGATGAAACTGACTTTTCAGATGATGTCCTTGGAAAATACATTAGGCTTTCATTATGCCTCTGATGTTTAAGGACCATGCTGGAATTTTGATGGCTTTGATTCATTCTGTTTTATCTAGTAAATATCCAGTCTCATCTGGTTTTTAACAGCAGTAGGTTAACAGAGCAGAGTGTTTGTATTTCTTGTTTTGAGGGAACTAGCATGTTGGTTTAGAGTGGGGAAAAAAGAAAAAACAAACTAGAACAACCTTCACAGTTGTATGACTTGAGTACCCATTTTGTTTACTGTAGATGGTAAAAGCTTTTGATTTGAGATGGAAATTTGTGAGTTTATCCTGTTTGTTTTTACAAGCAGTCTTGTAAAATACAGCAGGCTTTATTCAAAAGATGTTCATCACTTGAATTGAGCCTCCACATTTACGATTGCAGCCTGAGCACTTACTGTAGGGTTGTGTTGGCAGCCAGCAAGTCTGTAATGTATGCCTAACTTGATGTGCATGTTTATAGCAGCTGCCTATTTGGGATGTCCTTGAGTTTGGATTTTGAAGCTCAGCCCTGGCTGGTATGAAAGTGTGGGTAAAGTTTTGTTCATTTATATCTTCAAAAGGGTAGTGTGTGTACACAGACTGGAGAACTTCTTCCTTCAGTGTTACCATGAGTGACTCCCCTCCCATCCTCTGTACATGACTGTAGATGGGTGCTATGTGTCCTTATCAGTCAGTACTTTGGAATCATCTGGCTATTTTCTGTTCTGTAGAAACTCTATGGCAACCTCCTAATTATACCTGATACTTCCGCTCTAGATAAATTCAGGGTTGTGGGGTGTTTTTAACAATTAAAACAATGAAAATTAAAAACAAAACAAAAAAACTCCAATTTTATATTTGGTGCTTCAAGTACTTTGTCTTATTTTAAAAAACTCTACCTGTTTATATTTCATTATTTTATCATTAATTTATCAATATAAATTGTTTTAAATGATAAAACATACCTACTAATTCAGACTAAATGGTTTTGTCATCAGAAATTGAGGCAAGCTCTGTTAATGCAAGAAGCCAAGGTACAGATTATTGACAGCTAAATTCTCCACAGGATCAAGCCTTGTGACTGTTTATAATCACACAATAAGCATGAAGTAGCCTAACTTACTTTCAATGAGAGGTAAACTGCTTTACCTAACAGTAGGTAAAAGTATGCTTATGCCTAGCTATAGCTATCAGACTGTTTCACCTTGACTTCTTCTGATAACTGTGTCCTCAGTGATACTGATCATCCTAGTTGATGAATGCTGCTTACTCCTTTCCTCTCTCCCTATTAGTTGAGGCTATGTATTGTTTCACAATTTGATGAGTGACAGGCCTAAAACAAAACTGAAAGCAAAATTAAATTCTCAGTGCTTCATTTTATTATTTTTGGAGTTTTGATGACTCAATCTTAAAGTAATTTGGCTTCTGAGAAAGACCCACATTGAACTTTCTTAATGTAAGTAGGGTTTCCTTGGAGAAAAAAGTTGAAATGCTGATATTTTAAATCTACACCTTCACTTATACTGGTATAACTTCCTACAGTAATGGAAATCTTGAGTAAGATCTTCAGAGAACTAAGATAAGAAAGAACAGTAAGGATGTGTGTTTAGTTCAATGAACTTTAACCTTCATCTTTACTTTTCAAGCAAGTAAATCCTAGTTGTAGACTATTTGCTGTTCTGGTCTATACCTTAAGCTCTTATATTTAATTTAGTGCCTTCCATTCACTACGTAGTCTTTTCCTATATCAGCAGATTGTTTTAACTAAGACATCAAATATATTAATGAGGAGTTTTTTCATGTCAGCACATCCCATTTCACATTACAAAGATGTAAGCAAAGGTAGTGGCAGTAGATATCTATGCAATGTGTCTTAATGAAATACACTTAAAATGCACCAAGTTGACTCTAAAGACATACTTTATATACTTTTATCACATCTGATAGCTGTGTATGTTAGGATTGGAATGAATCTGTATAGTAATGGTATCTTGGGATTCTTAAGTCTAGATTAAACAAGGCACTTGCAAGTGAGAGCACAGGATTCAAGTGATTTGAGGTGTGCTTATGTTTTAGCATACTAAGAAAACTTGTTCAAAAGGTTATTATTAGGAATAATTAATGCAGCAATCCACAGTAAGGTAAAAAAGGCAATTTACATAAACTTAAACAGAGTTTGAAAGCTTTTGTCACTTCTGGGTAATGCCAGGCAGTAATATAAAGTCAGTTATTAAGGAATTGAGCATCCTGTAGTAAAATTGGAATGATAAAATGTTTTCTAGGTACTTGCTCGATAGCACTCTGTATGGAAGTTTAATATTAAGTATTTTTAGAAAATAGAGCCCACAAGTGGAAGCAGCAGGATTTGAGGCATTTGCTTCCAGAAGGGTTGAGGGACTTGAATTCTAACTGGATTTGATTTAAGCTGAGTTACCTCACATCTTTAAGAGTGAAACTCTCAGTCTGCAGGTGAAAACACTAATTCCTAAGAGCTTTCTGAAACAAGCATTCTTTATATTAAGGTGCAATGGCTGGAGGGATTAAGATCTTGTCTAAGATGATAGACAGGAGGCTACATAAAATTGTAAGAGTTTAGGTGGTCTTAAGACTGCTGAGTTTGATCTCATCCAACTGACTAGCCCATGCAGTTGGCTAGGTTCCATGAATGCTGCCTTGAAATGCACACACCAATAGCTTGATTGTGACTTGGCTGCAGTTTTAACACATTATTATGCTCTGTTCTTTAAGGAGCAATCAAGATTTCCTGTAAACACTTTGAGGAAGCTTTTAAGAAAGTGAAATCTTCAGTATCAAAAAAGGTAAGATAAGCTTCAAGTATGCAGGACTCCTTACTCCCCTTGAAAGGGTACTGTTTATGCTGGAGCCTGGTGGGAAGAGTAAAGGTTGCAGTATACTTGCATGTATTTCAAACTGGCACTACCTGTTCCTGCTTTAAACAAACCTGATGTTCCTTACAAGGTCAGAAATTGAAGTCTTCCCTTTCAGCTCTAGATGATGCATTGCATGTAGATAGATTACCAGGCTATCAAGGTTATATTTTAGCTTGGCACCTTGGCCTTCTCCTGACATTCCTGGATTAATTATCGACCTGGCCCTAACCTCTTACCTGTGGAATATTCAGTTAAAAGCCAGGATTTTTGGAGTGCTCCACATCTTGCCGTCACCTTTCTTCCCCCCCCCCAGATGGATGTGACACCCTAAGATGCTCAGTCATTTTTGTTACTGTGCAAATTCATCATTTTGAGATGGGACATAAAAGATGAGTGTCTTACCAGTCTTTTCATTATTTACATTTGTCATGGAAGTTCATTTTAAAAGTTTCCATATGACCTGTTCTTTTTAATGACTGAAAGGAAAGCTGTTCAATCATCTCAATTACCAGAACTGAGAAGTTAATATATATCGGAATTGTTATTGCTGTAGAGCTCTTGTTTATAGGTCTCTGTTGCCAGGAGTGTACTGCAGCCAAAATAAACTAATACAGTCACTTTGAGCACTCGCATGAGAGAAGTTAACTAGTTAACACTTTCCTTTCATTGTTACTGTATGTTGATGGTCATTAACCTTTCCTGAAATTTAGAAGTGATCTTTGGCACCAAGGCCCTTTAAAGATGGCACTGGTGGTGGTTTTCTTTCCCTTTGCCAATCACTAAGCAAATAGTTAAGAACAAACAGCCACAAAAACTTAGAGGAGATGTTTTAACTTAGCAATCACTAAGACTGGGACATACTCCTCCTGATTAAAAATTCACCAGAAATGTAATTCTGCAGCTCAAAGGCAGCTTCAATATCACATGGCTCAGAGCCCTATATTTCATTTATAGCCATCTGAAGAATCTTCAGTTAGATATTTTGAAGTATCTTTTGGAGTAAAATATACTCATCTGCCATTTCCAGATGCTACTTCCTAGCTGCTAGACAAGTTCAGTGTGACAAAAACTCTCCATGCCTTCCTATGAATACTGGAAAATAAAAGCTGCATCTCACCAGTTTAGCACTTCTAACTCTTCTTTTCCCTCCCATACATATGGGTTCTGTTAACAGAAACATTGGTTTCACCAGCTGACTCAAGTTGTTCTTAAAGCAATGGACAGGCATCAGCTGCTGAAGCCAGTTATTTCAGTGAAAGTTAACATCTTTGAGCAACAGAATACTTGAAATTGTCATTTAGAGTGACTATTGAAAAGGATGAAGGAACAGTTACAGTTAAGTTAGACCAGCAGAAGATCTTGTCAGTTCATTTTGGTAGAACTAGATTGAGGAGTAAAGTGTCAACTCGACAGCTCCTCAGAAAAGAGGCAGTATCTTAGTGAAGCTGCAATTCTGAACCTAACATGGCAACGTTAAGCGTAACAGATCTTGCTAGAGGCTTCTGTTAATCACACATCATGGGTGACTGTCACTGGAGAGCCTCATTTATGAGTCAGGGTAGTGGGGTTTTGCCATTGTTTTTGTTTGTAAAGGTTTTAAAATATGGCTAGTGGGTCATACAGCTGCTGTGTTGCATCTGTTAAATATCACATAATAAAGTCACTTTTATACAGTGCATGACTTTTTACCATTGTCTAAAGCTTTTTTTTCTTCTTGGCACTGTTAGGATCAAATCATGTATGAAGAACTGCGTCAGTCACTGTGCAGGTGATAAATTTGGACAATCCCCAAGAGACTCTACGTTGGTGGAGATTTGGCAATACCTGTGCCTGATTTCAAGAGACAGGCTGGAAAGAAGCTGTGCTAAATCTCTCAGAACCTTTTTAAGTGTACCTGGGAAAAAGGTCATAATGATCTACTACTCTAAACCATCCTTAATTGTTTCCAGAATAAAAAATACAATATAATTCCTGCTTATCAACATTTACATTTGTAAAAATGAATGCTTTTAGTGCTAAAGTGCTAATATCATTCTGATATACTTGGTGCCCTTAATCAGGAAGCTCTCAGAGACAGAGAGGCTAACCATTCCAAGTGTTTACACTGTTCAAATAGCTGTTTTCAACCATAAATGAAAATAGACAAGGTTTCAGGAAGGAAAACTCTTGAAGGATCACTAGGAAGACAGAGCTGGCCAATCAGACTAGGGAAGTGCTGCGCTCTGTTACTGTAACATGAATCATGCCTTTCCCAGACACACTGACACATCCTGATTGTGTTGGCAGGTTTCTCAGCTTCTAACAGCTTCCCTTCACCTTATCAAAAGAAGGTATCCACAGATGGCAAACTGTCTTAAAGTTACCTAGGAGAGAGTAAAGTTTGGAAGTGCATTATAGTTGAACAGCCACATAAGAAGCATTTGAAAGTGTAAGATTTATCTAGCAAACAAGCTGATTCTTCATAAATTTTTTTAAACTGACAAATCCACAACAAAGATTCTGTTATGCATTTGAGTTCAACTCAAGTGTTTTGACATCCTCTGGAGGAAGGAAAATGTTACTGTTTTGAGACAGAGGCCAAAAGCCTCAAGCTGTTTTTTTAATACAAAAAAAAAAAAAAAAAAAAAAGCCATCTTGGAAGGAGGTTGTAACTTTCAGCATCAAGCCGAGAAGTATCCAAGTTAAGAGACACCACTGGAATATGACAGACACAGCAGCTGATTTCCAAAACCTACAAACCCTCATGGATTTTTTTTTTTTACCAGTGTCATCATTCTACAAAGTTCTTTAATGATTAATCTCAGTTCCTATCTGTGATCAATCTTAAGCTTATTAAAAGCACTTCAACCAATCAAGGATCAGAAAAGGAAGTGTATTATTTCTGCTAGCAAATGTCATAGTCTTAACTTCAAATGATAAAGTAATGAAATTTCCATGTTAAAAAAAAAAAGCAGGAAAATGTTTTTTTGGAAGCAATGTTCTGTAAGCATTCCTCCCCAACCCCCCATAACATTTAAGAGGGAGGCGATCATTTAATCTCCTACTCAAATCCTAATTCATTTAAACAAATCATCATGCTTTGCTGACCTAACTTAAAAACTGACCTTGCCTTGAGGGGGAATAGTGCCTTACATCTTTGATTCTTCTCCAAATTGCCATCTGACAAAAGATCTCACACATTTTTCCCAGAGGTAAAGGCAGGGGATTATTACAAATAACTAATCACCACAGACTTGTATTTTAAGAATACTGACGCTCATGGCAGCTTGTACTTAACACTGTGATTTTTGCACAAGATGAGATACTCACTCCCTCTTCAGTGACTCAAGTTGTGGCCCATATGACTAACAGATGAAGTCCTCGCATATGAAGCAGGAGATGTATCGGATAATTACAAGTAAATCAGGCTTGGAGCTGCAGAAATCCAAGATGAAGGATCATTATTTTATCTCACTTGTGGATGTTCATTACTGTTAGGCAATGCAATTAGGACATCAGTTAAGTGACTAATTTTAATGCGAAAATCATGCCTACATGTCACATACAGAGCTATACAAGAACCACCTGTCACAAACTTTCCTGTTTTAACTCCAAATCTACAACTTTATCACATTTCTTAAATAAAAGCTTTTTGCTTTATAGGAAGCTACAATTGCGTGGAAGAAAGCTGTGAACTCTTTTAGTACAATAAGACACTCAGTTTACTTGGGTATTTCAGAGTTGACCAATGCAAAGAACCAAGCAGGAGCCCTATGGAAACAGTACGTGGTGGCTCAAATACTGATTTTGCAAGTGTCACCCATTCTACCTTTAGATGTGGTAATTCTAAAGGCTATCACTGATTTTACCTGCCTGTGGCATGCTTTGGTTTCTAAACAAACTACATAAAAAACAAATGAGGAATTAAAAAAGATCTAATTGTGATAAACTTTGTGTTACCCTTTCTGGGGTTAAAAAAAAAAAAAAAAAAAAAAAAAAAAGATACACAAAACTTGTAACTTACAAGGTGCCTGATCATTCTTCTTAACACAATAGTGGAAATAGGATGCATGAGGGTTTGAATTCATAAGAAAAACTTCAGTTAAGTTGAAAGTCAGAAAAAGCCACATCAGTCAAGTGTCCATATACTGTTTGCTTACTTTGGCTGGGCTACATGTGTGTCAAGGAGCAGACAAGGGCAGGCAACTGAACTCTATTTGATTGTTCACACAAGAATGTGCTGCACCCACACTGCTACTTTTTCTTCTGGGAAATTCTGCTCAGGCTGTTGTACCTACCACTGAAAAAACAACTTGATAAGAAAGAAAATGCAAGAGCCTTTGTACACAGAAGATGGGAATTGCTTTAAGGAAGAAGTCTTTTCCTGCAATACAGAGACCATGACTTTGTTCTGCATATGCAGATAGCACCCCTCCTAGCAGTCATGCCTAGAGATTTTCCCCTCTAGTCATCTTGTTTGTTGTGACAAGCTCAAGAAACTGTTCATTGTGCCATTCTCCTCTCCCTTTCCCCCAGGCTAGCCACATATCTAAATCACAATGCAGATTCTGTCCCAGAGCATATTGGAGGCTAACTTAAGCATGGATAGGGAGGGGGCAGAGGCAGTGCAAGGAACTGTCAGAAAAGAAGTGTTGTCTGAATTCTTGACTCAATAGGAAACTTTTTCAACATCTCTGTCCTTACTAAAGTCTTGAATAGCACTGCAGGCTTGATTGTGAAATAGAGGATTTGATAGAGAAGAAATAATTGTGTACTTGGAGTTGTAGGTTGCTATACTAAAGACACAGCTTACATGATTCAAACACACTTATTTGTCAGATTGTTTTCCTAGGACCTTGCAGAAGCAATCTTGGCAGACCCAGAAGTAGCTCCTGTGCTTTGCAGTGTGCAAGCTAGAACAGCAGAACTTGTTTTGCCTCAAGCCTTTAGAGATTCTCTTCAATTACAGAGCAGTACACTTCCCAAAAGCTGTGTTTTAGACCACTGGACGTACAAGATCACTATCTGAAGCAACTTTTCACCTATTTGTCCAACAGGAATAGTATGACACCTGCAATCTATACCATACTGCTTGTAGAACCGCATCATTAAATAACGAATAAACAGCTTCAAGTTCTGCTGTTGCTGCCACACTACTTAATCTGATTCAACAAAAAAATGCTGAGGAAGCAAAGTTGAACCACTGAGCTTATTACCTAACATTGTCCTCTTACCTAGCACAGATCCATTTCTCAACATCCATACACTTTTAAGTGTGCATTACATGCTTGCTGGCATGTAAAGACTGAACCAGAGGAATTCTGAGACACAAAATCAAGTCTTAACTACTTTTCAGCTGACCTCTGGTTCCAGGTAGGAAGTCTTACCATGGATGTGAAAGCATGGAGCTCTGCAGCCAGAAAAGATGCACCCATTTAACACACGTTAATTGTCACTCTTGTGGAGCAGACCGGTTCAACAGCAGAACAAAAATGCCAGAGGCAAGAGTTGTTTTGAAAGAGGAATATACCCACGCCTGTCCTATGGGAAAACTCATGCCTAGTATGATGAGATTCCAGGATGCATTACTTAGTCCACTTAAGCAGCTTCAAATAATTAGGGGCATGTGTGTCAAAAGCCATGCAAGGCAGTTTAATCTGAAAACTAAGTAACTCTGAAAGCCCTGAAGGGGATTCAGAGCTCTGCACAATTTAACTGGAACTAAAATACTTGGATGACATGTTTAACACAGCTGACCCAAAGTCAGCTCTGTTTTGAGAGTTACAACTCCTGGGTGATTACACATAAATGAGAGGTTTGCCAAACTAAAGCAAGATGCTTTTGACAGACAGAAAGGAACAAACCCTAATGTTGGCCTTTCTAGGTGCTTGTTAACTCACTCCATCTGAATAGATCTAATAAAACATTATAGTTGGTTTAACTGTTAGGGTTCCTAATCATAGGACCATAAAATTAACACTCTTTAATTTGTTCTTTACAGGTTAGTCAAAGGTCCCTCCCTACAAACTTTCAGGTAAATATTAACAAACATTACACTAACCTGTTTCTGCCAGATACATTCTAATAGCATTAAAGTTACTGAATTCCTTAAAAACAGTAACTAGATGATTCATATGCATGTCAAAAAAAATAGTATTTATTTGTGCCATGCCTTTGGACTACACACTACATTATGACTGGACTGAACTAGGTATACAAACAAGACAGGTTGTCTGGCTGGTCTTAGAAGCATTTCTGAACCACTGGTAAAAGGAACTAACTTTTAGGGATGAAATTTTGCTACCCTACAGGTTAACTTTCAGATTATCTGCTTCTGGCAAAAGCCCTACTACAAGTTAAATGCCTCTTGTCTATTACACAGGAATTATATACCTAAGAATAGTCATCGCCAATGCATGCAGGAATCGGACCATGGTATAAGCACAAATTTAAGTCTGAGATTAACCTAGTCCAGTAAGTCTTCTCCAATAGCTAGCCAGTAGCAGATGTCTCAAAGATCATGGCAAGCATGGAATTCCCCAGTATTCTGCAGCTTTTACAGTGAAAATAGCATATTTATAATCACAGCTGGAAGGGAAGATCACAGAACACCTTAAAGCACCATCTGCAATTTTAAACAAGAGCTCGCAACTTCAGTCTTGTTTAAAAGTAGGACTACATACTTGCACTACCTACTGGGAGGACAGTAAGGGGCATCAGGGATTACATGAAGTAAGTAACTAAGCCCAAGTATAAAATTTGACTTTGAACTCTGGTTGTCTTCAGTTTTCATCTGGCATAACTGATGTTTTTTTAAACCTTTAGCTTTTAGCCATACAGCTTTTCACAGATACTTTCTGCCCTTCAGCCAGCTATGTTAAACCATCAACACTGAAGAGATTTAATTCCACCTTTCAATTCTTAAATTGAGCAGTCTTGCAGAAGTGGCTTTAAAAAAAAAAAAAAAAAACCTCCAAATGTATGTTCTGCAACTTAAGTC